TCTATGACGTGTTTATTATTTATGCGATTATGGCAATTGAAATTTAGTTGTTTATCCATTTTAGTAGCTATGGGATAAACTCAAGTTTATTCACGATTGCCCTGGTTAATTGTTCATCGAGATGGAAGACTGAAAATATTTTCTTTTCCAATGGTTAGCTACTAAGTTTCGTGGTCGAAAGTTTGCATTCTATTTCCTAAATAGCGAAGTTGAGGGTAATGTATTTTTAGATAAACATTGACTTAAATTGGGTCTGATGTCAGAGGCAGTTTTTCAATGTTTTCTGAATAGGTTAGAGAAGACGGATGTTCTTGTCCGTATACAATCGATTCGTTCCATTTGTCGCAGACGGCAACATCAATCATCATACCTTAAAGAATTACGGAAATGTCCATGGTAGTGTCATCCGATAGACCACTGATTTACACCTGTATATAATAACTGTTTTATTATGCTGGTATCGAGTATGAGTACCAACACAAGAGCGAAGTACTCAACATGTCTTGTGATTCTGATGGCAAGTTTGTAATTGCTGTAATGTTGGCCTTCCTGACATTTACATGATGGAGCCATTTTTAGCACCCTTGTTTCCTTGAAGGTAATGGTGAGGCGCTGATCTCCTTTTCAATGTCATCATCCAAGAAGGATCTCTTTTTGGAGGCAGAATCAACAGCACCTATTTGACAAAAATAGTCTGTATTCTTCTGTTTATTTTCCGCTCATTAATCAGGGTAATACTCATTTATTAACTTCACATGGAACAAATGTGAGTGATCTCGACCGGAACTTTAACCTAGGACCTCTCGGTTCTGACCCTGACACTCTAGGGCAAAGTAACCCCGGTGCAATGGGTCGAAAATTTCTTGCACTATTATTTATGGAATAAACAAAAATTGCTCTCCACGGGAATCAGACTTGGCACTTCCGGGGTTCGAATTCGAAGCCGCCCTCTTACGCACTGTACCACCGCGCCACTTGATTCTAATGTCTCAACCACTTATCTTTATCCTTCATGCTATATCCTCAATCAGAAATGATCTATGACGGAAGCGGTATTTGTGATCCCTTTTTAACCAACCTGTTTCCATGACAGGATGTCTGCACGCCGATGGTAGCAATGGAGAAAATCATACAAGGGCGTGAAATTGAGTGCTATCGACATGTGAGTGTTGAGTGTTTAGAGAGAGAGAGAGAGAGAGAGAGAGACAGAGACAGAGACAGAGACAGAGGAGTCAGAAGAAAATTCGTCTCTCGCAAAGAGCTGTCATGTGCTATCAGAGCTGAAAACTGCATTTCTTTGGCATTTATAATTCAAGGAGAGCCGTTAGGATGAACCATGAAAATTTTGTTTGGGAAGCGTGAACCGAAAAACCTACAATGACCTCTTATAGTGAGACGACCTCCCTGCCTATGATGAGAAACAATCAACAATATAAAGAATGTTCTATGACATTGTGAAAAGGTTCCCCGGCGGGTCGATATTCCAAGAGGTTGACGAGTTAAGCAAACTGATGCATCGGATTAATTTCTCTCTGCAAATTAGTGAAAATAATTAAATAGTAAATACCTTCTGGCAAATAGCAGCAGTACTTTAGTTTCTTAAAATGACTTTTATAGAGCTATGAAATCACGTTGCCCCATGCTGCAGAATATTCCGTGGTCTCTTCATTGGTGAGTACAATGCTGGTGTTTGGAAAAATCGCCGCTGCGCTACTTAGTACTCTTCTGGCATGTTTGATATTTAAGGTAAGTCGTTTTATTCCGGGGTTAAAGTATGTTTTTGAAAATGTACATTTGTGACGACAGATGATTTTCGTCCATTTCCTAGTGTTATTTATTATGTAGCGTAAAATGGAACAGTCGCTCTTGAATTTGTTGACCTACGGAAGCTGCGTATTTGGAA